GGGACTTTTTGTGGAACGAACAAATGGATGCCTAATTGTCCGATTAGTTGGGGGAAGGAGGGCGAGGCGTCGGCTTTTGGGGTTGGTGCGGAGGTGCACCCCGGTCCACACCTTCACCTAAATGCTCGGACAGGCAGGAAATCGTCATCTGGGGCCTCGTGGCTGCACAACCGCACCCGGAGCCCCTAGCCACCGCCCACGGCGAGCTGTCAACGTCGGCGTGGTAACCAAAGTGTCAGCGTGGCAAATGCCGTCTCGGGGTCTCAGGGGTTTCCGCGCCGTGGATGATCGATTGCCGGCACCAGCAGGTCCGCCTGGTCTCACCCAGGCAGGACTTAAAGAAAAAGGCAAAATATTCATCCCTCTATAACAAAAAAAGCAGGTCCACTCAGCTCAGCTCATTTGCACTCCTGTCCCAGGAAATGAATGCATGACATCCATATTAATTTGCGTGCATGCGCGCGTTCATTTTTTCAAATTTAACCTGACTAAAAAACTGGCAAAAACAGTTTAAAAGGACATACTTTAAACTAGTAAAAAAAAAACAGTTAGTGTATTACCACAGGACTTTCTCAGCAGAATGACTAGCAGGAATGCAATTAAAACTCAGTGGCTGGAAAAGAAAACAAAGGTGTTAATTAATTCATTGTGACACCCGTGTCTTGTTTCCATTTTCGTAATGCTGTAAACTTTTCCAAAACAGCAGGGTAATTGAGCGATTGTGTGCATTGGCAGAAATCTTACATTTTTTTTGGCTGATTTTCAGCACTTTCCTATTACTGCCACGGTGCACTCAAGAGGCCAAAGCGTGCACTCTTGCATGCATGCATGCACACCCCCGCATGCCTGCATGCAAGCTCATGGCTGTTTCGTGTCTGTCATAGGGTGGAAGGGGGAGGGCCTGGGAGGGTTTACTCTAAATACAGGCAAGACAGAATGTGAGGAGCAGGCCTGTGGAAGACACAGCACTGGTCCATCGATGCATGGTGCTCTGCCTCGACAATAAGGAGATGCCCTCGGTTGAATCTTTGGCACTCTGTCGTTGCCAAGACTGCTAGGTGTGCGTGAACAGATGAGTGAACAGTTTGGAGAGCAGAGCCGGATTCAGCAGCAAAGCAGGGAATGGCCAGGATCCACTCATAACTGAACTGCAAAGAAATGCTAAGTACTCAAGGCAAAGAAATATGGTACCACGCTTGTAAAGCTGCTAACCGGGAGCCAGACACCAGCCAAAACCCTGACATGCTACTTCCGAAGACTGTTATAAATAAGTAGTGCTGCCCTCTAGAGGATGGAGGAGCACTCCTCACAATGCTGATTTAGAATGTACTTGGAAGTGGATTATAACCAAGAGGGTAGGAAAAAGTTTGATACCGGTTCAATTAGTTAAAATATAAATGTAAAGCTCTATTTCTGGGGGGGATGAAACCCAATTAAATATTGGGGGATTCATGCCTCCCCCCGTCCCCCGGTTCCTGTGCCCCTAAATGTAACAGAAGTGTAATCCTGGGTAAAGGACATGCTATATGTGAGCTTTTATTCAGAAACTACGAATGCAATTATATTCGGCAAAAGAACGCATGACTTGCAGATGCATCTGACTTTGATAATTCTCTCTGGCGGTTCACAGATAGCGATCTGTGGCAATCTGAATCTCTTTGTGTGACAGGCATTGTGTCCGGCCCACTTACAAAGCCGCCAATAGGGCTTTGATTCCTTTAATCATCTGAAAGTCGAAAGTGGTCAGAAGGGAGGCATGAGAGTCAGAAAGGAGCCGTCAAGGGGGACAGTACTGAAAAAAAAAATGGCGAAGGGGAAAGATTTGCAGACACTTAACCACTTAGGGAAAATGGCATCACACAGGGAAACTGTTAATAGTAACACTTCATATTAACTGCACTTTCATGATGCATTAATATAACATTCAGCGCACTTTCATAATGCATTCATGATGCATTCATAGAACGTTCATAAGCAGCATGGAAGTATACATTAACATTATCACAGGTGGAAAGTTCCAGTCCAGAAACTGAAAATCCTGATTTTGTTTCAACCAACCAGTTGAGTACTCTGTAACTGCGACACCTTATACTCAAGTGGTTGGTTTAAACAAAATCCTGATCTGATTTTTTACTTTCTAGACCCAAACGGTCTACTTCTGTGAATTATGAAGATGCACTGGATGTTATAGGAATGCATTATTAACACATTATGAAGGTGCAGTTAATGTAAAATGCTACCCTGTTTCCATTAACGTTACACCGTTCAGCACCAGGCATTGACGGCTAAATGAATTTCGTTTGCTTGCCCGCTTGCTTGTTTGTTTTTGTCAGTTTGTTTTTGTTTGGCAGAGAGTCCTATTAACGATTTATGTGGTGTTGTACTACCCTCAAATTGGAACATGAAACAGAACTGCTAAAAGCAACTCGAATGAGTACCGACACATAGAACAGCAAACTGTGAAGAAGCCACTCAATGAAAATAACGTGAGTGAGACAGTGAAATTTACCCTGACTGGGAGCAGGTGGGGAGGGTGTATCAGACGACAATCTGATGCGGAAGCTGAGGGCTGCAGGTAGGTCTGTAGGCCGTTTATAGAATGATGATCAATTCTAACCTGCGCCAGTTAAACCTTCCTTTACTATAAAGATTCGGGCATTTACAGCTTAATACACAACAGGAACAGCCATGTTTTTGTGTGTGTGCAAGACAGAAAAAGAGAGGAAGAAGTGTGAGATGTGCTGTGTGTGAACCACACCATTCCTTGTACTCTTTCAGCTATCTGAAAGTGTGATTTATGAGTTCATTTTGCAAGCCCACAACTGCGAAAATCTTATAGTAAATCTTGAACAATCCTGCACTGTTTTACAATTACGATCCCACAGCACAAAAATAATCACTTTGAACTTCACTGGACCTCAAAATAGCGTCTCTTTCTAGTCTAGTCACCTATTAGGTAACTAATGAAAACGACCAAAACATGAAATCAGAGAAACATAATGATTCCTATGGTCCTATGCAATCACGCACATTATATTAACATCCTGTGTAATGGTTCTGACATTACCCTTCAAGGTTCAAGAAAACCCACTGCACTACACTCCAAAATCAATAATAATCATTTTAAAAGAATTAGGCTTATTTCTATTATTTTTCAAACTGTCTGTGAAACGACTGCCGTTCCAACGGGATTTCAAAGACGGCATCTTTCCCCGCAGACGCCAAGAAGCCAAAGCGGGTGGGCCGGAAAAAGGACCGCGTGCCGGTGGAGTAGAGGTGTGACATCAGCGGCGAAGGCGTAGCCTGCACCTCCCCTGCCGCATCCCGACCCCCGCAGCCTCGCTCACGCGCATCACCAGCCAGGAAGGAGAGAGGCAGCGGGGAGGAGGGGCCTTTTAATGAGAGATTATCATGTGTTTTGTTTGTTCTCTGATAGGAACCAGCTGTAGCATATTTTAGGTGCTTTGTAACTGAACCATATAAAGATGACAAAAGGGAGTCGGTTTCTACTAAACTACTTTTATTAGAATCTTGCAGTAACTCCAGTCTTTTAAATTATATAAAGAATAGATTCCAAACTGCAATCCTGCTCCACGTAGGTGCTGGAGCCTCACAGTAATCAGACAGAAAACGTATTAATTTTTGTGCATTTTCAGCTGTGCTGTCTGACCTGCCAGAAGAAAATAAATCCCTGGATCTTTTGTTTAGCTGCACTCGTCACCGTACTGGAACTATACGCTATTCTAAACCGTTAACTCAGGAGTTTCCAAAAAGCTTTTTCTTTTTTTCTCCCGAAGACTGGCGATGTCACGCGTTTCCAGGCTGCCAGTGCTGTGTCTCGATATGCCGGTTCCCGAGCTTTCGAGTGCAACCTAAAATCCCCAAGCCATATTCTCCATGTCCGCTGATATAACACATACAAGTCAGCGTGTTCCTCTACATCCTCTACACATTTTCTGACGACGGTGTTTCATTCTGACAATGGACAAGAAATGAATTCTCTCACATGCGACGGACGATGATACTTACTGTTATGTTTTTGGCTACAATTACCTTGCTGTTAGTTATTTCTTTAGCTGGCTTTTAGGAAAAAATTTAAAAACCTGCAAAATAAATGACAATATTAAGTAATTTTTTTAATGATGTAACCGTTCTATGGGTTGGTCTGACTCATATGGTTTCATAAATAAAGTTTCACACTTCAAAGGCTCACCTCTTCTGACTGCATATCACCCTAATGGATGGCTGCATCCAAAATGGCCTCCTTTTTACTTAGCCTTTGTAGCCCCTGAAACACACCTCCTCTACCACTGATATATCTAAAACAGACTGGCCAGACATTCACCTGGAGGTTATATCTGCTTTCTGATTTAAGTTTCCGTTTTTGTTAATAAAGTTGGCCATGAAATACACTGGTGTGTGTATAGCTTTCAGTATTTTATGTTGCTGATGTGAATTTAACTTCCCAAATGAAATAGCATTTAGCCACATGATCACAATCAGATCTTTTATAATTAGCATGGATACTTCTGTCCAAAGTGACTTACCCCTATCCCTGTATAAAAATTATGACCTTTGTCGCACTTGAATGCAAGTAATCGATCCCAGGTGTTGGTCCTGTTTTTCCGATTGTCTGATTCTCTTCTCGAATGCCCACCCTGTCATGCTTCCAGTTGGCTATCATGAAGGGCTATGATTTTTGTTGGAATGCTTATATTTAAACACTGTTTGATATTTTTGAAAAATTAGTAATATAAAGGTGCTCCTTGCTTCATGATGGTGTGATAATGACCTTTGAATTTTGATCTGTTCCCAGACTTGCTACTTATTTACTTATCATATTCATATTTGACATGATATTTTTAAATTTACGATGGATTCGTCAAGAACATATCCTCATCACAAGTCAAGGACCATGCAGGTATAAAGTATTATGATTGTATGGTAGACATTTTAGGCACACCCAAACAATAAGGGTCATATGTAATACAGACCTGGGCTGAGTGACCATTCACGTTTACTTTATTGAGCATTTATGATTTGTCGACAGAGCCGGGCATTTCGACTCGCGGATGGGCGTGCACTGACAGAAAAAAACACCCACAAATACTCTGCATTTAATTTTCATCGGGCTGAAATTGTTTTCCAAAGAACATGGTACAATATATCTATTGAGTGTGATATATATATTACAGGCTGCTCGATGTGGCGGCCACTGTCTGGGAGGAACAGCCAATGAACAAAAGCTCGGGAAAGCATCGTAACGAGTACTGAATATTGGGAGGACATAGCTGAGGGTGAGAGGGGTTAGGTACTGGGAAAAGGGCTTCAAAATAAGTAGGAAACACATGTATATACACGTCAGCTGTACTTTTTAGGCATTACAATTCATATATACTCTATTTACAATGCAAATATGTGCTACTGACAGTTTTACACAGCATGGGGAGCCACAAGTTGTAGATGAAAGAGAGCATGATGTCATCTACAGCCCTTAGGCAGCTCATGATGAACTTATTGAACATTTTTGACTGGAAGGGGAAGTAAAACGCCACACATCTTTTTTACAACCTGTTTCCTGGCTTCGGGAACATCCGGAAGAGGAGAACGGAGGAGACCGTAATTCATGCGCTCCGTCCACAGACGTTGCCCACTCAAATTTATGGTCCGTGTAAATGTTTTGGCTGTGTTCAAAGTACTTGTCTTGTCCTCTAAGGGCACTTGATCCGTAGTAAATGCTGAATGTCTCACGCTGGACGTCACAGTTTGTTTTAGGAGAGTGTTTCTCAAACTTTGTCCCAGTAGTCCGGGCGTACGCTGATGAATTTACCACCACAAACGTTACCCTGTTTTACAGTTTTTTGTCACTAATTTTACTGCACAGTTGAGCTTCTCCTTAAATACAATGGAAGTGAGCAAATGCTTTCTTCCCAGTGACAGAAATTCTATCATATTCTCGACGAAAATTAGATCATTAAATATAAACGTGACCGCAAACAAAACGGCCTCGGGGCTCGTTGAGCATCGCCCGTCCAGTCATTTGTCCTCAGACCCTGTCATGTCGACTCTGTGGAAGTGACAAGTTGGCCCACCTTTGGCAACGCTCCTGTCACTGGGCATGACAGCGCATCCGTACAGGGCAGTCAATCTCTTTCCGGAGCCATTGTGTCTTTTCAGTTTGATTCTTCTTCTCTGGCCTCAAACGAAGCGACCCCTACCCTCCTCAGCCCGAGATCTCAATCCCCTCCAACCCCATAAAACATTTCAGTTTGTCACACACAATACTGTATATTACATGCTGTGATTTTAAAATAAACTCGTACACTATACACATTTCTTTTCTTTGTGCGACATAATATGTATATCCATAAAATTTGATACAAAAGGGAGAAGTCTGTCCTCACTGCTCAGTCTTTGTGTCGCTGTTTAAGTTCAGGAGGAGACGAATGCTTGGAATACAACTGACTGATGACTTTCAGACAATAGCTTGTGTCTTTGGCAACCTGATTATAGTTCTGTGTGCCTGTGGACCGCAAGCCGTCATCTGCAATGGGGGGAGACGGATATGTGTCCCATTGCTTAGAGACCCCGGACAGGACACATGGTAGATCTTTCTCTCATCATCTTCCTTAGTTTCAGTAATTTTTTTTTTTTTTTTTTAATATCTGATTAATTCACATTCAAATCCTCCACATACTAAACACCCTCTATTCATCCTAAACTCTTCTCATCTCTCTCTCTCTCTTTAATCTCCCTGCTTGTTTTTTCATTCTCACACATAAATATACATGCATGCAGGAGCATCACTGTCACACACTCACACACACGGTCGCACCAAAGCTTGCAGTGTGGCTGGCAAAAGGGGTTACTGATGTCTCCCAGGGATGACTCATCATGGGGATTTTGAAAAGACATTGATCAGGGCATTATGTGACTGCAACCACGTGAGTCTGTCAGAAATGTGTCAGTAACACACGTATAATGACATGAACAATCACAGCCTTCTGTTGAAAAATAGCACTCCAGTATTGCATTAATCAACGTGCTTCTTTTGTCTGAGTAGGGAGCACATAATTCTCATGGTCTAAATGGCAGATAGAGGGCATGAGCGGTCATGGGTAGTTTAGCAGTCGGGAGTTTTTCAGTGCTGGTCTAATGTGCTTCTATTAGCTTCATCGCAACAGATTATCAATTGTGAACCATTGCTTGTGAACCCCTAAAACATCATGATTATGATGATAGATGGTAATCGATTCACAAAACCCCATAACACATATAATTTGCAACAGTCTACTGATGGAAAAAATGTACAACGTAGAAATTCAAAGTGAAAAATAAATATCATCAATATTACATGTGTGCATGTTCTATTTTCAGATGGCTGGAAAACAACTGGGAAAGAAAAAAACGAAGGCACTTATTTCATGCAATGCAGAGACTGGCTAACTGCTTTCACTTGGGAGAAAATGTCAGAAGGTTTGGATAAACTAAAGGAGAACACTGTAATTATAAACTATGTTAGACTGGAGCACAGACAAAGTGTTACAGTTCCTTTGATGGAATGATTTCAGTTAAATTAAAATAGCTTTTCATTTTGGTTCTGAGAATATTCCTTTAAAATAATCATTACTCAGTTATAGAACCAACAGAGGTTTAATTCTCAGTTTTCTGAAAAGCATTGATCACCTGGCCTGATCCTGGACAGCTGGTTGGTTATTTGAAGATTAAAAACACCTGCTTATTGATCATATTAAAACCAATGGCTTGTTCCTGTTAATTGATGTCATTGGTATAATTCACTCATGATTTAATGTTTGATGCTGAATCTGGTTTCTCCTCACTGAAGCGGTTTTGATCTTTGCAGTTACATTACTGCCTAATGTCACCTTCTCGGGGTAGCTGACTTGACAGTGATCAGCAGATGCTCCTAGCCTTGCAAAGATAGGATCTGCTGCCATAGGCATATAAAGCCACCTGGATGGCCAAAATGCACTTCTAAGACCTCCCAGGGAACTGCTCCACATGTTTGTGAATTAGATAACCTTAGCCTCCCTCCATGGATGGTTTTGTTACTAAAAAAAAAAGATGTTTTTAGCCCTTGGTGCTCTTTGTTTGATAAATTTGCACTCAATTGAATGACATGGTTGAAAGGTGGATGCAGGACAGCGATTTTGATTTGATGAATGGAAAAAGAGTAGACTGATTATTTATGCCTAGAGTTTTGAGACTTACGGTACATAGATGTGTGCTGGGGTGACCACTTCATCCATGTCGGGAGGGACACTATGAGCTACATCAGGTTTTACAAGCTACTTTAACACTGAAAGGCTCCTATGTTTGGCTAATTAGTTCAATTCTTCTTGTGCTTTGACTGGTTTGTTTCCTTGACTGAAAGACTCATCCAGCTGTTTCACATTAACGTTAGCGACACATGCATGATTACAGGAGACTGACCAATCAGCACACAGCAAGAACTCGGTGCTTAAGTGACATCCAGGTCCTTTTAGTTGAAATGGTAGTTCACAAACCCCGTCAAAACTCAAGTGTCCCTCCTGACGTGGATTAAGTGGTCACCCTAATGTGTCCCTATGTTAATAAGTCATAATGAATGTCCTTCCCAAAGGATATTTGCGTAGAGAAGGATCCAGAATCCTCAGACAAGCTCTCTGAAACATGCAGAGCACCTACCATTCCTACGTTCCAAAACAAGAGCAGCCTTGAAGGGAAAGCAGACCCGCTGTGTCTCCGAAAGATGAAACGGCTCCCTTTCGTTACGTAACTACAAAGGCCGGCTTATCAGAACCACGCAAAAGTGGACTCCGCGTGGCCTTTGGCTCCGCTCCACATGAGCCACTCCACAAACACTGCGATCCGCCCCCACTGAAGGTGATCCCGGCGCGGCTCGTCTTTCATCACACTTTCATTAAGCTGGTGTTCACACTTGCCAAGCTAATCACCAATGCGCCCATGAGATCTGCTGGGGGGGAAGCCTTCAACAATCTTCAGGTTCTTGAGAAACTTGTTAAGTGGGAGTGGGGAGAGGTGGGTGGGCGGGGCATTGCAGCCATACAATAGCTTCCCTCAGAACTGCAATAGATCGCGAGGCCACAAGGAGCCCACATTTGGCCCACAAATACACAAGAAACCTAATTCACGGCCACGAGACCCTCTGAAGTGTACTGTGAGTATGTGGGTTGAGCTGAATGAGGTCTGGTAGGTCTTAGACACCACTGACCTAGGATTGCATCTTCCTGTTGAGAGCACGCGGCCCCCAACCGTCTGCGCGTGTGCCAGCGGTGGTCAGTCATGGGTCATGTGAGTCTCTGCTCCTCGCTGGGGCTGCCTGTGCTCTTTTCCTTCCCAAAAGAGCTGTCACTTGTCACCCGGCACCGAGCTATCGACACCAGGACAACGCAGCTCTCCAGTCATGTTGGAATGCAATTATATTCCCCTGGTGGCTCTTCTGCGATGGTTTAGTCAGAGATTAATCAAAAATGTGTGAAAGCTCTGAAGCCGCTGCCAACTTCTGAGACGTCTGACAAATGATGCCGGGAGACAGGTCCACTTATCACGGTGACAAATGGCTTCGACACATACTTGGATAAATGCCCCTCGAAGCTAAGAAGTCGCGCTACGCATGGAGCGGCATTTCCCCGTGGCTACCTGCCCTAGACCGCCAACCCAAGATATCGATCTGTCTGCATTGGCTGGTTCCCAGTATTTAAACTCTCAGGATGAATTAACATTAGGCTGCTTAGCTCCTCCCACCAGCACGCCCACGAGTGCATGAACATGTTTTCTAATTAAGTTAATGACACTTTGTAGCTGAATACATTCTCGCTTTATGAAGATCAGTTTAAAGTGTTAGTGATTTGTTTTTATTTTGCAAGCACGTATTGAATTTTAGAACGTTAGCACAAGTCACGAGTAAAAAAAAAGGCGATAAAATGGTTTCCCCTCAAAACTGTGCTTGGAGTCTTTTGTTTCAGGATGAAAGTTTGTTCCAGGCCTTTCAGCACCTGGATCATCTCTGGACAAACAGCGGAGGAAAAGATTATCGGGGCCAAGACGTTTTGTTCCCTGTCGCATCATCCTGCTCTGTCTGCCACCCATTTTAACTTAGACAGGTTTTCTTTATGCACTTCTGGAGAAAATGACAGACTGATAATCATCGCCGCTGACTTATTTGCTTATAAAGGACTCAAATGGAAGCATTATGTGATAGAACATGGCATCTGGTGTCCTTATATATCAACTTTAGTGGCCATTAGCCGCTGTTACATCTTTATAGCTCATGGAGCCTTTGTATTACGCATCGTACGGTAAACTGTGCACTAGTTATATACATGATGAGAACACATGTGCATCCATAATGCCATAATGTGTCATAAAGGATCACGCCAGTCATTCTTCAAAATCTCCATAAAGTTTCACATAGAACTTTTGATTCACAAAGCAGTTGCCTATGATAGTAGCTCGACATCTTCCAGCAAGTGTGACCAGCTGCACTGCAACATCATTCATCCTTCTACCTATGTAATTGCAACCCAACTGCCCCCCTATTTCGAACCCCATCCCGTCACCCCTCCCCCCACAAACATGCCTAATGTGCACACCTGCAGATGGATTCCCAGAACATTCCTCTCAACACGCAGATGCATTCTGTACTGCAGCTGGCTGCGTGACTCAAGATGTGATTCTTATAGCAGGGAATTTCAAAGCCCAGTACAGACCCGATCCATGAATGCTCAATTGGTACCAATCAATACACCCAGTTTTAAGCAGAATTAATTTGGGTCTATTGTACATAGTACCTATCTAGCTTAGGACACAGATGTTATTTTTGATATCATTTATAACCTCGACACCATTGATTGTACTTAGCATTAACCAAAAGATCCACCCCGGTGGCATGATTTCGATAGCATCTTTAAGTTCTTTTTTAGAGAGAGTTTCGGCACGGAGAGAGTGATTTCCTGTCACAGATTGCACATCTGAGAATGGAACTCCTCTCCTGAAAGAGGAAGCGAAATTGGGGGGGGGGGTTGTTATCTCGCTGTCACTGGTGGTCCCCGTGACGGATGTGACTGAGCCATCCCTGGAGGTGTTTTTTGTTTGGGGGCACTTTAGCATAAATACTCTGTGGGCCCCCCTTTGTATTGCGCTGTCAAGCGGCCCGGCGGTACATCACAGGAAGTGTTCAATGCACTCTGTCTCCCCGCTTGCCCTGGTGCTTGGTACAGTCCTCAATCACCCATGCATACATAGAGGCTTACAGGCACGCACAGACAGCCAGGTGCGCCCGCATTGTGTATTTACAGATATGTACATGTATGTACAGGTGTATCGTTTTATGCTGAATTACAAACACAGGGTTTGTATATCCAATCAGCCCTATTTTCCCATAGAATGTATGTATTTTGCAGTGCAGAAGTTCCCTCTCAGATTCCTAGGAGCACAACCTACACTTTCTGACTTCACTTTTTAGCCTCTCTTCCAATCTGTGTCACTGGGCCTGTGTGTATTGTCAGTCTTCATGTTGGATTATGTCATATTTCATAGTGTATTTCAGATTTTATAAATGTTTGTGCATTTTTTTTGTTTACACAAAGGCCAGTTTCCACCCAGTTTCTAGACGACTTGTTTACCCTACTACATCATTCCCAGATCTTCTGTGCACTGTAGTAGAAGAGCAGCAATGCATGACTCCTCACCTGGTTAGGATTGCATGTCTGTAAAGTGCTACAACAGGTTATATAAATTAAAAATAGAAAAGAAAATGTCACATATGTGTCTATATTCATCTAGCCGACCTAATGTTTTTGTACTGGCAGAGCAAGAGGTGTTTGAAGGTCTTTTTGAAGGTGACGTTGCAGAGAGCATAGCAGGCGGGGTTGATGGTGCTGTTGATGTAGCACAACCAGTAACCGATGGTCCATACTGTGTTGGGTATGCAGCTGGAGCAGAACGTGTTGATGAGCACCATGACGTTGTAGGGTGTCCAGGTGACCACGAAGGCCACCAGGATGGCCATGATGGTCCGTGTGACCTTCTTCTCCCTCGATGGTGCTGTCTTCTTCTTCTTGGGAGGCTGCTTAGTCATCTTGACGATCTTCCGGGCCACCAGGTTCTGCTTCTCTGCCCCGGGGACAATTTCCACAGTGGTACTGGAGGCAGCATAGCAGTCCCCCTTTGGCGACTTGGTCACGATCTTGATGCAAGTGAGTTTGGAGCCGCCGGTTTTGGCCCGGTGACGGCTGGGGGGCTGACTTGGGCTGGTGTGGCAGTTCTTTTTCGGCAGCACCGTCTCGTCATCTTTAAGGTTGGAGGCTCCAGCACTGACCGATGAGGATTCGTTGGAGCTCTCCTTCTCCTCTGTGGTAGGTGCACAGTTGTCCGTTGGGGCGTTGTCCCCCTCTCCCTCCCCATCTCCACCAGACGTGGATTGGGCTTTGCCATTCTGCAGTTTGTTGTTGAGACGGCCAGCTACGTCACATGCCTCCTGGTTCTCGTTCCGGCTGGTGTTGTCGGCCATCACGTTGTTGTTGTTGGGCTTACTGGCATGACTCTGCACCTGACTGGGGTACTCTTCCTGGTTGGCACCTGCAGGCTTATGATTGTCTTTCTTCACACGGCTCTTGCTGGCCCTGGAGATCTGCCAGTACAGGATCGTCATGGTGATGACCGGTAGGTAGAATGCGGTAATGGCTGTGCCAAAGGTCACAGCGGCATTGGAGAAGAACTGGATGTAGCACTCCCGCTCAGGCACAGTCCGACCACCAACGATGAACTGCCAGAAAAGGATGGCTGGAGCCCACAGGATGAAAGACAAGACCCAGGCTGCTGCAATCATCATTCCTGCCATCTTGGTGGTCCTTTTCACCGGGTAGCTGAGCGGCTTGGTGACGCAGAAGTATCTGTCAAAACTGATAATGAGCAGGTTCATGACTGAGGCGTTGCTTACGACGTAGTCCAAAGCTAGCCACAGGTCACAGACCACCGGCCCCAGGGGCCAGTAGCCAATCACAATGTAGACTGTGTACAGATTCATAGAGCATAGCCCGATGATCAGGTCTGCACAGGCCAGGCTGAAAAGGAAGTAATTGTTGACGGTCTGTAGACTCCTGTTGACTTTAATGGAGAGCATGACCAAGATGTTGCCAATCACGGTGACCAGGCTGAGAGATCCGGCCACCAGGACAATAAATACCACCTCCACCGTCTTATATGGACTCTCCGGAACCAGGGAGTCTGTGGCATTCCCTTCAGAACCATTGGAGTATGTAGAGTTTTGCATTTTTATTTCATTGGGTCTTGAGTATCTTTCTGCAGATAGCTGGAAACAGGATTCAGAACCATCTACGTCTGGAAAGAAAACAAAAGAATATTCACGTTAAGTTTTTATGTAACTTCTATGTGAAATAAATATATAGAAAATAACAGTTGAGTGTAAAACGCAATTTTAGAATTTTATGTTTACTTTAATTGCATACTCATTTTGTAGTCAACCTGAAAAATATGGGTGCACACAATTTTCAATGTGGTCAGGATAATCACCAATCTCAAATTCCTGAAAAAAAAAACACTTCTTCAGATTCATATTCAGACTCGGCATGGTTGTGACAAGCATTGCTGTAGTTTAGGGGCCACTTGCCAATTCTTTGTAGCTCCCATGGTCATACATGAAGTACACACATTCTCATGTGTCCTCAGATGTTGCCTCACTGAGTCACCCTTTGCTCCGATTAGGAACAATCCTGACAGGTAATTCAGTTACCGACAGAGGTGGCCTAGACCTGGCTGTTTTCACAAGCTTTCAGCTATTGGCAAACGTCCCACTCTGCCTTTGAAACGGCAGGTCACTTGGAGAGCCATGGCACAAGACAGCATGGACAAAAACAACGAGAGCGCTTCTGTTTCCATGTCAGCATCACATTGGCCCGGCACAGAGTATGCTAATGTCTGTGCACTCCCACGTGTACATCTCTGGTCACGTGTGTTTGTGCATGTGTGTGCTAGCAGCAGTATGTGTTTGTTTGCACGTCTGTCAATGCCAGGGCTTATGCTAACCCCAACAGTCCACTTTTCGGCAGGAGGATAGAGCCTCTTGGCCCTGATAATCTCCAGGGTAGCCGTGCCCCAGTTTCCATGTGCTTCTGGGCCCTGTTTAATAATCCAGATAGCAGAGATGGACCGTGTACCATCTTGATTCCTCCCTCTCAGACTCTTAGAAGCATAGTCGAGTTTTGCTGGTGCCCTTGATTACAGCTCCTGCCTCCCATCTTGCAATTCGTGGGCATCTCCTCTAGCTCCTGGTGCTGCAGTCCCCAGCAAACCCCCTGATGCATCACACCCATTCCCGTGTGAGGCATATTTGGACCTGAGGAGCTGCCTTTTAAAAATGTGATGGTTCACTCTTGGAACCATGTTTCTCCTCCTATCTCAGCCTCATCAATGCTGCCAAACAAAGAAAATGGAAATGAATGCAGCATTTTTTTTTTACGGTGCCAAACAGTAGCAGAATTTTCAAACAGGCTGCTTTTTTGATGTTATGACAGCCTTCATCTGCAGCTGATAAACGCCCCCCCCCTCCAACCTATACCCAAGCACCCCTCCATTGCAACTTGCATCGCAGCAGCTGTCCAGGTGCGTCATAACACGTTATATCCACGGATGTGCCTTCGTGGCCTTGAAGAGTCCTGTGATTAACAGGGGCTGCTGCATGTAATTTCGTTATTAGGAGAGGGGCAGGCTAATGGGCAACTAATGAGTGGTAAATTACACAGGGGCCCTAGGGGAAACATTCGCTAATGCTGGGCTGGCTTGCGGCAGCTAACGGGCCACACCGAGGACCTCAGCTGATGGCTTGGGCACCGTTTATGGAACCAGAGCTGGCAGACACGCTTGCCGGAGGCTAGGAGTGTGACCTGCGAAGCAAGGCTTGTCACTATCAGACAGACAGACAGGCAGGAAGGTGGCGCTTCCCCAAAATGCTAATGTCGCATGGAAAGTCCGCGCCCGGTGCATGTTTGTGTGCTTGCGGCCTTTGCAGCCCAAAACTGACTGGTGCACCGAGAGTCCAAAAGGCAGCGTACAGAAGCGCCAGGCCCACGGGGATCCTCGGTTGACCCAGATGCCACCGAGATTAAGGTTAGTGTTCTCCATGGTGATGGGAGTCTCCTGAGACATGGATACGTGCTGGGCAGCAGTCGCCCACACTGCAAGACGCATCACCTCATCAGCTGGACTCCTCTCCTGCACTGCTGCGCAGATCATCATGACTAATAGCCAGCGGCTGACAGGACTGGCCACCCTCTCTGCCCTTGATACTACTTGGCATGTAATGGTCGGGGGGGGGGGGGGGGTGGATTATAAACGACAAATACATTTACAAATATAAACAATAAATGCAGAGAAGTAATTTCAAACAAATTGCACCAAGATGAGAATCTCAAATCCTCATATAAACAGCTCATCTGAAATGTCCATAATGACATCACATATGCTGCAAAAATGCCATTGTCCTAAATTTATGCCTAGACTGAAAATGTTTCTTTTCCCTTTCCCAGTTTTGACCTGATATTGGTGGGGACAGTGACAGTGGGTGGCTGCCAGATGAAGAAGTAGGATCATTATGTTGTATCATATGTTCAAGATTTTATTCCTTTTACCCCAAAATCTTTTCCCAGCAGAAATTCTCAACCTAATACCTGATTAATGTGGCGATATTTCTAATCAAAAACTACACAGTGTAAAATGTTTTCTGCCCAAGTTCCACCAGTAACAATGCAGTCTGCTAAACCTGCATTGTACTTATCCAGCTCGATATATACAGTATATCTGCCGTACTTTGTGATTGTTCTGTCTGGACATTCATTTAACGTGTCATCTAGGGGCATAAGAGGGGCCATGATTCACACAGAGGGACCAAATTTATCATTAGCCAATGATGTTCATTCAAACAATTCCCCCATGCCACTTAGGACTCTGGACACCGGGCTCTTCCACATATATCAGACTCTTTTAAGTAGCTTCACTTAGTGATGACATTGTATCTTATTTCTCTCTTATGCACTTTTCAAAAAATAAAAAATAAAATGTGCTGAGTGCCCACAAATGCCCACATTTGTCTACATTTGTCCCCAAATGAAAAATTGCACATTTTATTTGTGTTGTTAGATGAGTTGTAATTGTGAGTGTGAAAATTACGGTTGGGCCACCGAACAGACCCACAGGACACATGGACTGGAAGATGGAACAGGGAGATCTTATGATCACCTTTGGGATATTTCAGACAGGCGAACCGAGAGACTGCAGTGGCTCTCTGATTTAAATGAGCCACCACGCCCATTATAAAGTGAAGAGTACCTTTTAATATATTCTAACATATTTTAGCCTAATAATTCAGACATTTTTGTCAATGTTTCACAACACTCGGGTTATTTTTATTGATAGACATCCCAAATAGTAAAAATGCCCATTAGAAATTAACAATGGGTCTTTTTTCTTGTGTTATATGCAATATTGCATATAGACTTAAATAAGAATAACTAAACAGTAATTTCAGACTTGAAAAACCGAGACCAATTAAAATCTTAGCGTAACTGCGGCGTGATTCTGGAATCTTGCTCTTTGCCGAGGAGCGTTCCTGCAGCGGGACCCTGTCTTTAATTAGCGCACAGTGTCTCCCCACTAGCCGCCTCTGATCCGCGTGCTGTAGTGAAGGCGAACGGAAAGTTGTGAACCTTGGCTGACGAGCACATCGCACTCTCGCCCTCTCCCATTAAAATATGCCATTATCAAGTGAGAAACACATTAGCGGTTACGTCTGGCAGGGGGGCCCGCGGCCGAGGGCCCGCATGATTGCCAGACTCGCCCTTGTGATTCTCTGACACTAATGGTGGAATGCAGATAGAGTCAAGTATTGGCAATATCCGCCGACCGTCTTCTTAAAGTTCGAAATTTATTTAATTTAAAACTACGACGCAAAGAGCACTCTGAAAAATCAATTCAGGTCACAGTACCTTTTTTCGGATATTTTACACGGTGACAAGTGCCAATTTTGGATAAATTCCTAGCTCATATATATGTGTCATTGGTACAGTAACAATAATTCTCACTTCTTTTGTTTTTAAAGCCTTTAACAGGTAAGCATTGGAAACAGTGCTGCATAGTTGTGTGGAAACGCTGACACTATTTTTGGTAGCTGCTTCATCAACAGTTTTTTTTTTTTTGTTTAATTTTTCTTAAAAATCATCATCACAAAGTAACCTGCATGTTACCTTGTGAATTCTCACCTGTGCGTGCTCTAATTATTGAGGATAATTATTATAGATATTTCTCTGCATTTTTACAAATTGGCAGGGAGTTTGGCTGCCCGGTGAATGTAAGTTTGCTCTGTTAGAATTGCTAAAAAAGTTGAGGTTGTGGGTATTTTTATATAAAACAATAAATCAACTGTTGAAGCAATGAAAAGTATTGCTTTTTCAAGAGAAAAGGTCGGTAAACACAGGAAAACAAACAGTAGCTTTTTTTATCAGCAGCAAAAGTAACAGACAGAGAACGTGCTCTGGATTCCGCTGCATCGCACACAGCAAGGCCTCTGTGAGTCAGACATCTACTTTCTCATCTTTCCTAGCTATTAAAATTAAAACACAATTGGGACATGGTGACATTTCTCTAAATTTTACCCTTTGCCGGATCAGGGGCTGTAGCAGCTCCGGCTCCTTGGATTTGAGCGCTCGACCTTCCCAACACGGCTCATCTGCAACTGCAGTACACTGGTTTCATTGTGTCCCCAGACTGCCTGTAAACATGGCTAAATATGGAATAGCCATTGATGGCGCGATCTGAACATTTTATCCGAGTGACTAGTTAACTACTTGAAACATACTGTACAAACACCCTTAGCTATGGTAAGTGGGAGGTGAGGGGTTCAGCCGGCTAAGTCTTGTGATGGAATGATTACTTGTCCGAGCCCCGGCCTCAGAAGAACAGTCTGTGGGCCCTTAAGCAAGGCCCTTAACCCGCTGGCTGACCCTTTGGTGTGTCTCACCTCCATGCATGTTTCATAGAGAGCAAAATGCCACAGGCAAAAAGGAGCATTCCAATGGACCTGCAAATGGCAAATAAAGGATCATTTCCTAACCTTACACCACTCCCCATGTGGAAAAAAGGACTGTGAAGTGAACTTCAGTTGAGGGTTCTAGGTAACCTAGATTCCTTGGCTGAGCTAAACTAAAGGGGTGGAAGAGTGTCCTTGCTCCTGTAGTAACACCAAAGCAGCTCTTAAGATTAGAAGTCCACCATCGATCTGTCTTCCAACCACTTATACGGCACAGTGTCACGCTGAGCCTGGTAACAGA